CACCATCACCACCACCACCTCCTCCTCCTCCTCCTCCTCCTCCTACTCCTCCTCCTCATTCTTGCCGCCCATCTGGCCAGATTGTTAGGGTGAGTACGCTCAATCTGGCAGCCGGCAGTGTTCGTTCCCTTCTAGGCAATCCGGGGGGCATCCGACCGGAACGGAAGACGGCACCAGTAGCTCGAGAACAGGGGCGAAACAAGGCGGACATGGCCGCACTCAGCGAGACCCGATTCTCCAAACAAGGCCAACTGAAGGAAATGGGTGCCGGCTTCACCTTCTTCTGGAGCGGTCGCCGAAGGGTAAAGCGACTAGACGCGGGTGTCACCTTCGCCTTCCGGAACGGCATCGTGGAACGACCGCCCTGTCTGCCGCAGTGCATCAACCACCACCTGATGGCCCTCCGTTTCCCTCTGTGGGGTGGAGAAATCACCATTCTTGTCAGTATCTACGCTCCGCGGATGAGCAGCGCCGCCGAGACGAGAAACAAATTCTACGCGGAACTGCACGCACTCCTGGCGTCTGAGCCGACGACTTGGGGACTTGTCCATGGTGATTTTATCGCCCACGTCGACGCAGACCATGCTGCCTGGAAATGAATTCTGGGTCCCCATCGTCTCCATAGTTTTAAAGATAACGAACTGCTCTTCCTAACCACCAGTGCGCAACACCGCCCCATCCTGGCGAAAATATTCTTCCGTCTCGCTACGCGAAAGAAGGCCACTTGGATACACACTCGGTCGTGGCCTTGGCGCATACTAGATATTGTCCTCGTCCGGAGGTGAGATCAACGTGAGCGGAACCCAACTACAAGTGGCGGAGAACTCTATGTATGTGGGCAGCACCCTCTCCTACAGCATCAAAATCGACGATGAAGTGGCCCACCGAATTTCCAAGGTAGTCCTAAAAATGCAGTTCGCAATCGTTACGGGCTTCACATCAACCCCGAACCTAGAGATGCACAAGGCAGTCATCCTGCAGACGTTGATGCATGGAGATGAGACCTGAACTGTGTACATGAAGCAGGTACGTAGACACAATCATTACAATCTCAGCCGTCTTCGACACGTACTGAATCTGAAGTAGCTGGAACTGATCCGTTTCTTCCTCTAAAAAAGAGTAAAAGGTTGGGCTGTCTCGGGATTTATGCTTAGAAAAGATTCCACCGAGCACGACAAGCTCACATGAATGATATCAAGGGTATTAAAGGACACGCATGTTCAAACATAACCCTGGTTAGTGATTTGGTTGCAACCAGAGATACGATTAACTGAATCCGCACTATCTACGTGGGAAGGGCCTGCTTCTTGTTGCGTACAAGGTGGACAGTCAGATATTGGGGACACACCTGGAGTTGGTGGTCCCTGGACCGTGAGGGGGCCTGCGCGCCTGACGAGAGAAAATCGATCGCACTCGATGGATGACGCAGCTGGCAGAGTTCGCCAGATGGCCGAACGCTGAGTGCGAGTAGAAGCGCCCCTAGATGACCTTGGCAGCAGGTAGTCAGTGGCGTGCGCAATCGTTGCGTGCATACGTCATTGGACGCCATTGGACAGTGTTCCCGAGATCCGTCACGCATAAGATGCGCTGGACCAACACGCGGGCTAGATCGGTGTCTGTCTGGCGTTAATTGGAGACGTGCACTCAGGAAATGTCAGCATTTTGTCCGACTTTCAGACATACGTAGACGTTTTCCTTGCTAGATATCCACATTTCCATCAAAAATGTCAGTTATGAATGTCAGAAATGCCCGAGTCGGTTATAAAAATAAAAGGCTGTTTTATTACGTAAAACACGGTTAGATCGCCGTCAGTTACAATTTGGACATATCTTCTCGACAGGTCATGAGAGAAGTGCGAATATCTGCAGGAGTGCAGTCGTTATTATTAAGAATATGCGTGTGATAGCATAGGAATTTCAGCCCATGCATATTTCACCCTCTGTTAGCCTACAAATCCAATCTGTTGCTGTCCTTGTTCGAAAATGAACTTGAAACTTCACGTGAACATAAAGTTAGCCTTAGTGATCGAGGGACTTTCCTCACAGTAAAATAACACTCTTAAGGAAGCTCCAGTTGTGAAAATTTAGTCTGTTCTGTCTCGGAAGTTGCTCCTAAGATAAGCGGCAATGTTCTGTATACTTACATGATTCCCTCCGACAAAGACGGCATTATTAATCAGTCAATGTAAATATCGGTAATGTGCTCTCAGAAGCCTTTTTAAATTCAGCGTGAAACAAATGCGTTGGAATTGTGATTTACATCGAAACAGGCCGGTCCAAGTTGAAATTAGTGCGGATTCGACAATCTAAAGGAGTATGTCACCGAACATAGGTGCAAGATGTCCAGTTAAGTTCGAATTCACTGAATGATCACGTGCAATAGGAGTCTCTAACGTACTTAATGGTTTCATGTTTTTCAAATGTGCACGTTTGCATATTCGCAAAAAATAAATTCTCCAAATCCATGGGAACAAACTAAGGGTGTACAAGAGAAGATGCATGAAATAAAATAATTATTTCAGATTCAGGAGATTACTTCCTTAAGACAATGAGCAATGTCGTCCACCAGCGCGGACAAATAAGGAGGCAACAAGTGCACGTCGAGGGTACCGTCACCTTCGTCTTTATTTGTGGTGAATGATTCGCTTTTCGAGCCCACTCCTTTTAGAACTGCGTGAGTGCGCGTGTGTAATTTGTGGCAAAGCCTTCGCCCGCAACGGAAACCTGAAGAGACACATCGTCTGCATCCACAAACGTACGCCTCAAAGTGTTAGCTCCTTTCCAAGACCAAGTTGACTTTTCCCAACCAACGGAGTGGAATCACTTGTGTGTCAATTTGTTGCTATTCTAAGACTCTGATCCACCTTCTGGCATGCAGGTCATCACGGGTGTCCCGACAGTTCGCCTTCAAAGTCTCCTGGGGGATCGGTTGTCGCGTTTTCCTCACGAAGGAGTTAACTAGACGGTTTTTAACCGTTCAGTGTGAGCTAAGCGAATTATTTAGGAGGGCGTTTCGCTTATAAACTAGTAAGGAACCAGGTGTCAGGTAACTGCCTGCGCATAGTAGGCCGCGAGAGCCACGAATACCTGATAATGGCATAGCACAAATATGCAGGCCCTTTGACATCACACACGACAGTTCGACCATCGATTTCAATGATGTCCACCGTGTGCCCCACAGTTGCAGCAGCAATGGGAGCGGGGACAGTGACTTTCGCAGGGGTTTAAAGTTCTAGGATACTTGCGCTGCATCTACGTACAATCTCTCCTCCTCCCTCGCCCGAGATCGATGTCAAGACAGTCTCAAGAAGACCGGAGACGAGGGAGACGACAGGTGGATGGCTCGGACGGATCCTCACTTTGGTGTTCCACCACACCCCCTGGTCAACACAATAATAACCAGGATTTCAACCAACACAACAGAGATTTGGAGGCTGGCACAGCCGAAGCCGCACCTGGGCGTGCCGCCAACGCCTGGCTCGGATCCCACACTGTGGTGGGAATGCCATAGAGGCCACATTAAAAAGGAGCCATTGCAGCCTGACTCTCAGACCGCCTCCAGTGAAGGAGGAGGTCCAAGGTACCCCGTCAGTTGGCAACCTTCCAAGCCACGGCTTTTAACGCACCGTGATAGCTTCCAGCACGTCAGATTGATTATAGTGAGGAAAGTGGACTGAGTCGTCGAATTTACTCTACGACGGGGTGCATTTCGAGAGGCGCAGTTGATCCGAAGCTGTCCAACAAGTCCGATTCGTGCCCGGAATGTCCGTTGACATCGAGGACACGTTGAAAGTGGTTGTGCTTCGGCGTTGCGTACTGGGTGAAGTTGGGATTTTCGGGCTTCGCGCTTCACTTTCGCGGCATCGATGCGGTTGGCTTCGTAGATCGCAGTGCATGTCTTCACTGTTCTCCTCCATGTCGGACGATCGCGGGCGAGCTCATCCCAGTTGGTCGGGTTGATTCGCAGACGCTTCAGAGAATACTTCAGGGTATCCATGTAACGGCGAATTTGGCCTCCTTGACGGCGAGAACCCGTCGCGACGTCTCCGTAGAAGAGTCGTTTGGGTAGTCGCTCGTCGTCCATGCGCATCAGGTGGCCACTCCAGCCCAACTACATTTGTCTCAACATGGAGTAGATGCTCAGAATTCCCGTCCGTTCCAGTACTTCCGTGTCGGGGATTCGATCCTGCCAGTTCAGCCTCAGGATGCGACGAAGACAACTGAGGTAGAAGTGGTTCAGTCGGCGTGCATGCCTCGCGTACATCGTTCAAGTTTCCGCTCCGTACAGCAGCGTCAGGAGGATGACGGCCTTGTACATCTTCAGCTTCGTGCTGAGTTGGAGACCGTGGCGATTCCAAACTGTGCTTTGGAGGAGACCGAAGACTTGACTGGCTTTCGAGATCCTGTTGGCGACTTCGTCGTCGATCTTGGAGTTGCGCGAGAGAGTACTGCCCAGGTACGGGAAGTTCTCCACGAATAGCAGTTGGGTCCCATTCACGCTGATTTGCGGCGATGCGTTGAGGGCTGTGGCTGAGTTGGTTGGCGGTTGGTGCATCACCACCGTCTTCTGCGTGTTAATGGCCAGACCGAAGTTCTCGCAGGCGGCGGAGAACAGGTCCATGCTGCGTTGCATCTCCTTTTCCGAGATGGTGTTCAGGACGCAGTCGTCGGCGAAGAGAAGTTCGTGAACGGTGGTTGTGGATACGCGCGATTGGAAGCGCATCCGCCGTTGATTTAGCAGGTGACCATCCGTCCTGTAGGAGATGCGGATCCCGGGGCGTTCGTCGCGGTAGGCGTCCATTAGCATGGCAGAGAACATAAGACTGAAGAAGGTAGGCGCCAGCAAGCATCCATGCTTCACTCCGTTGGTCACTGAGAATGCCTCTGAGACATCACCCTTGTCCGTGACTCGCGCCATCATACTGTCGTGCAGCTGACGCACCATCAGAATGAATCGCTCCGGACAGCCAAATTTCTGCATGGTATTCCACAGTCCTTTCGTCAGATCCACGAAGGTAGAGTATGGGTGGTTCCGCATCTTCTGGCACTTTTCCTGTATTTGGCGGGCTGCGAAGATCATATCCGTGGTCCCACGATGACGACGGAAGCCGCATTGGCTTTTCGGCAGAAGGCCCTGTTCCATGTGGTTATTGAGGCGGTTTAGAAGGATGCGAGGGAAGATCTTCCCGGCGATGTTCAGCAAGGAGGTGCCACGGTGATTGTCACAGATTTGGCAAATGCCTTTTCGCTTGTATAGGTGCACGATTGTGGCGTCTTTGAAATCTTGTGGGACTTCACCTTGATGCCACATCTCCTGGAAGAGCGCAGTTAGTTAATTCGTTAGTTGGGGATCTTCTTGTTTGTTGACCTCAGCGGGGATTGCGTCTGATCCGGGTGCTTTCCCGCTGGAGAGTTGCTGCACGGCCCTGATGGTTTCCTGGAGAGATGGTGGGAGGTCGAGGTCCACGTTGGTCTTCACTTGCGTCAAACGGGCGATGGCGGCGTCTGAGATGACGGAGGGGCGGTTGAGGACGCCTCGGAAATGCTCGGTCCATCGCTGTAGAATTTGCGTCTTCTCAGTCAGGAGAGTGCTGCCGTCGGCGCTGAGGAGAGGAGTGGTGCCTTCCTTCGGGGGACTATAGACAGATTTGATAGCGCTCTTATCGCTCTGCCTTGGGCCGACCAACCCAGAAGAAGGTGTAACCGGCGCCCACCTCTTCCAGTTGGCTAACGCTGTCCTCCGTTTCGGTCGGTTGTTCCTCGGATTGTCTAAAAGGGAGCGAAAATTCCAGGCTGCCAGAGTGAGCGGGCTCACCCTGTCAGTCTGGTGACAACGAGTGTGGCGACGGGAATGAGGTGCAGAAAAAGGTGACGAAGGAGAAGAATAGGCAGAGGAAGAGGAAGAAGAGGTAGGACGAGGAGAATGAGTATGGTTGTTGTTGTTGTTATTGGTATTGTTGTTGTTTCGATTTTGATTGTTTTGACCATATTTAGACGTGTGCGGCCCTGGCTAGCCCGGAGACGGCGTGGTGTCCAGCAATGTTTAGACCACCTTTTCTAGGCCCTCCCTTAGAAACGGTGAACACAGCAGGTCATCAGTGGCGTGCAAAATCGTCGCGTGTGTACGTCACTGAACAATGGCTGCGTCACTAAAACCGGTCACGCGGCAGATGCGCTGGATCAACACACGGGCTAGATCGGGGTCTGTCTGGCGGTAATTGGAACGGGGTACTCAGAAAATTTCAACATTATGTCGACTTCAGCCGGCCAGAAGAACCGCATTTCTAACAAAAATCCCAGTTTCCAAAGTAATAACATCGATAAAGTCAGTTTTTTGACCAAAGGATGATGTTAGTAATTAAAAAGCGGCTAGAAGTTGAACAGTCACAATTTAAACATATCTTCTCGGGAAATCGTCAAACGAATCAAAAAAGCTGAAGTGAATGCGGGCGTTATCATTATCAACATGCGCAAGATCGCATAGGAATTACAGCTTATAAAAATTTCACTCTCTGTAAGTTCACAAATTCAATCTGTTGCTGGTCTTGATCAAAAAAGGATCGGAAAAATCAAGTAAAAATTATTTTCGCTCCAGCGATCGAGTGCCTCTCCTCACATCAAAATGAGACTGCTAAGAATGCTTTTAGTCTTCGAAGTTGCTCCCAAGCCTAACTGGAGGGATTCGAACCCGAAGTTTTTTCCTAAGCCTAAATAGTGGGATTCGAATCCACGACAGCAAAGAGAGCCTTTAATACAGCCGATGCTCTAGCCAACTGAGATAAGCGTCCCCACCGGACGACGCGAGTTGAATCACATCTAAATCAAGTTTACACGTCCGATCTACTGCAACGTCTGGTATCCACCAAATTTGATGCAGAAAGCTGACATACCAAGCAGGATTTTCTAGTTTATACATCGAGAATACACCAGATGGCTACGGGTCTCACGTAATTCATAGGTGTTATGGCAGATACGATTAATGTAGCGTCGTCCGATGGAGCCTCTTAGCACAGCTGAATAGAGCGTTGGCTGTACTAAGGCTTCCCCATGCTGTCGTGTGTACAGACCCCACCGAGGCGCCGAGTATTTCCTATGCGTATCAAAATGACTCGTCTGTGTACTTGAGTTTAATACGGCAATACTGAAAATAGTCGGCCAAGCTGCAATAGGCCCGCCTTGCGAGTCAAAATAAGGAGATATGGATTACTTGACATAATTCAACCCTTGCTGTCGTGGGTTCAAATCCCACCGTGGCACCGAGGTTTGACAATTCAATCAACGTGGATGTGTGAGACTTTAGGAAATATATTCTGTAAACTAAAGAGGCTCTCGGTTCTAACGGATAAGCAATTTAGGACTATACAGTGGTTTTACCTTCAGTTATGGCACAAAATTTATATGTCAGGTAAATTCCGCGCGGGCTGGTTGCAAACATGCAGCCCCGTGTTACGTCTTACTCATTGCATTGCTTGCTCACCATCTCCATTTCAACAATTAGCTAGCTCAACGGCTAGACAACTTACCAATCGCCAATGCCGCTGCCACTGCTGACGAGGACCGATCCGTGGAGATCTGTTGGGACACAATCCAGTCGAAGGCGCTGGCCGTCCTCGGTCGCGCATCACGCCACCTACAACCTGCTCTCTGAGAGGGACCGCCTGCAAAAAGCCTACATAGAACACCCCACCGACGACGACAACAAAGCAGCATTCTACCGTTGCCGCCGCCTTGTGCAACAGCGGCTGCGCGATATGCAGAACGCACGGACGGCCCGCAAGTCTATGGAGACCCAACAGTACGCGGACCACAACTGATGGAAGAACTTCTCCGCCATCCAATCCATCTACTGTCCGCCCTCCCAAGTTACTGCAACTCTCCTCAGCGCCGACTGAAAAACCCCGCTCACCGAGAAGACACACATTCTGCAGCGATGGGCCGAAAAATTCAGAGGCGTCCTCAATCGCCCCTCCACCATCTCCGATACCGCCATCGCCCGCCTGCCCCATGTGAAGACCAACAACAACCTCGACCTCCCACTCTCTCTGAACGAGACTATCAGGACCGTGCTGCAGCTATCCAGCGGGAAAGCGTCCACATCGGACGCGAGCTCTGCGGAGGTATTCAAGCATGATTGTCCGCAATCAATAGAGCATCTGACGGCACTGTTCCAGGAGATGTGGCGACAAGGATAAGTCCCGCAGGATTTCAAGGACGCCACCATCATCCACCTATACGAACGAATAGGAAACCGCCAGCTTTGCGACAACCACCGAAGCATCTCCTTACTGTACATTGCCAGTAAGATGTTTGCTCACATTCTTCTCAACCGCCTGAACAATCACTTGGATCAAGGTCTTCTGTCTAATAGCTAATGCGGCTTTCGCAGTTATCGTGGCACCCTGGAGAAGAACTTCGCCACCCATCAGCTGTAGGAGAAGAGTCAAGAGATGCGGACCCACCTGCACTTTTCCTTCGTGGATCTGACGAATGCCTTCCACAGGGCGAATTGTGACGAACTGTGGAAAATCATGCGGTGATTTGACTGCCCCGGACGATTCAGTCAGAGGGTGCGTCAGCGACATGATGGCACGCATCACGGACAGCGGAGTTGTCTCGGAGGAATTCGCAGTGACCAACGGCGTAAAACACGGCTGCGTCCTCGCACCGACCCCCTCCATGCTGATGGACGCTTAACGCGAAGAACGCCCTGGGATCCGCCTCGCCTATTGGACGGCTGGCCACCTCCTCAACCACAAACGGATGCACTTCCGGTCGCGTGTATCCACAGTCATCATCCATGAACTTCTGTTCGTCGATAGGCACCTCGGGATCCGCATCGCCATACAGAACTGTGAGGAACCTGTCTAACCACCGGAAGACGCAAATTTGATCGCGTTCTTCCACAACCACCGTCTACTAGGAGAGTTAGACTGAAACAACCCCTTCTGAACGTGTTCACGGCACCCTCACGCATTTCAGATGTACATTGCCCAACCCGAGTTGTGTGTAATCATGGTGTTTGTGTTTGAGGAGCCAGGTCGTGCGTGTGGCGCGCGTATACACGGTCACTAGACCCTGTCAGCCACCGCGCCCTTTCCCCGCTTCAGGGGATTCTCAGCATCCACGCAATGCGGATGGATGCCGACAGGCTACGAAAAGACTCTTCTTTGACGCTAAAATCATACTCTGAAAACACCTCTGGAGCGACTGTAGATAAACCCGGCAAACTGGGAAGACCCCGACCGGGACAGGCCAACGTGGAAGAGAGCAGTGAAGACAGGCTCAACAATCTTCGGAGCCAATCACATCACCGCCACCGCCAAGTCCAAACGCGGGACACGCGAATCTCGACTGTCGCCCTCGTCTCCGCCGCCGCCACCGCTATCGCCTCAGATCGACAACACCCAATCATCTCCAACATGTCCACAATGTGTCAACGGGCATTCTGGACGCCAATTGGGCTATTTGGGTACCTCCGGTCCGACTGCGCCACACGGACTGCACCAACCCTCGTCTCTCCTCCCATCTCTCCCACGCCTGCCAGGACGTCAACTAACCTGGATCGCCCTACCGAGCCACCACTACCATCTTCTTCTTCTTGTTCCTCCAGAGGGTGTAGTGGCACGCCTTGTTGCGGGTCCGGCCTCCCGTCTTCCTGACACTGTCTTGACAGCAGGTGCAGGTGGGGGGAGTAGGAGAGAATGCGGCAGATACTGCGGATAGTCTTCATTCACCATAAACGAATTCACGCGCAAGTTACCGTGACTGCTGCATCTAGCTGTGTAGCACACAGTGGACATCGTCGGCTCCGGTGGTTGAACCACATATATTTCTACGGCAGATCCATTTGTCATTCTTGTAAATATATCTTAGGATTTGTGCTCAGAAAAGACTTCAATGAGTATGACGAGCCCACATGAGTGATTTAAAGGGCCCTCATGGAAACAGGCGAGCGAGCATTGCCCTGTTAGTGAATTCCTTGCAACCAGAGATACGATGAACTTAATCGGCGCAATCTAAGTGGGAAGGTCCGGCTTCTTGTTGCGTACCAGTCAGTTATCAGGGGCGCACCTCAAGTTGGTGGCCCCTGGACCGTGAGGTGACCTGCGCGCCTAACGAGAGGGAATCGATCGTTCTCCATGGATGACGCAGCTGGCAGATTTCACCAAACTTCGTAAGTCCGAAAAGTTCCGTTTCAAAAGGAATTCCATACTCGATTGGAAAATCTATGAGTAGGTGAACTGCCAAAAACCAAATTAATGATTTCAAAATTTGTGTTCGAGGTGCAGCTAGCCGGCCGACCAGATTTCGTCCAGTTCATTTTGACTGTATACTAACACGGGACACGTGTATTTACCCTATTCCGGGCGTCTGACTCACTTTGGTGTGCGTTTACATGTCGGCACAATTGCAATTGTTCGTTTGACACTCAACGACCCTCTACCGTGTCGCCATCTCGTCTGGCGACTACCTGCAACCAGAATGCTCTGTCTGGCTTTCAAACAATCACAGGCCAATCAGCTTCAAGGCCTACTCATCAAATTTCGACGCCTGTCTCTGTGGGCCTAGACGTCCAGCTCCTCTTCGTCTGTCAACTTGTTTAAGCACATTTTTTCTCTATTCTGCACAGAATACACTTTTCCGTACACATATTCCCATTCAGGTGTTGATTTTTTTTATGGGTAAAGTCAGGGAGACCCGGTTCCCGTCCAGGAATTTAGTGCAGGGACACTACACCAAAACAACGCACTCGTACGTCGCTCAATTGATTCGCCCACAGGGCTTGCGCGTGTTGATACCGTGCCAGCCACTCTAATGAGTCAGAAATCGAGTCGGATTGCTAACAGCTCAAGGTCGTGCTCTGATTGGCTGAATTCGAAGCCCGCCTGGAGGCTTCTGTATGCACATTTTATCGTCAGATTTTCGCGGTCAGGACTAAGTAGTCGAAGTCTTGCTCTCCTGCCCCTGCTGTACAGTTCCCATTTGAGGATTCGACCCGTCAGTCTAAAAGATTCTACTTCTTACTTAGCAGTAATAACTCGCTTCCTCGAACGCAGCTGCTAGTGTAACGAAATTGGCAGGGTTTAATATAACTGCCCCATTCCCTCTATGACCAGAATTTTGTTCAAAAAATTTCCGTTCACATGTAGGTACTGATGATCACCACAGATGCAATTGTTTACCATAAAGCCAATCCACTGTCTTGTTGATATTTTATACGTGAAGGACCGTTGTTCGATAAGAGATAGGAAGGGCGACATGGAGTTTGTGGCGGCTAGGCGGCGGCAGTAAGTGCTCTGAGCGCTACAACCATCAGGTCAAATCCTATGTTGGAAGGAGAAGGCGGAAAGCACCAGAGTGAGGGGCATAGTGTATACAGAATCCGGAGTTGTCCTCTGAGGCGGCAGTTGCAACTGGTGAAGCCAGGGCCGCTGTTGACTGCGTCCAGTCATGCCTGAGGGTCTCTGCAACAGTGGTGGCAGCCGCTTTTGTAGGCTCGCGGGTCGAACTCAAGTGGTGCCCAGTCAGTGTGTGGCGCATTGGCCGAGGGGTGGTGTCCCAGTGGCTTAGGTTGCGGTTGCAGGGGGGAGGTGTGTTCAAGTGGCCGCATGGGCAGCTGCGGCTGCGCGGACGCAGGTATGCCCGAGCAGTCACGTGAAAATCAGGCAGTGCCAGCCTGGCCATTTGATTGGGTGACAAGGGCATTTGTGGTCGCCTGTGATTGGCTATCCTAGGGGTTGGATGTGCTCACGTTCTGACGCGCGGGAGTAGTGGTCACCCGACGTCTAGTGCGACGCGGATGCTAGACGCAGATGGCTTAACGTCGTCTGAGGCGCTCTAGATCGGGTGCTGACGAAATCGCTGGACAACCTTGATGGGATGCATTATCTACCTCTGTTGTATCCAGCCGGTCAACGCTTGGAATTCTCCACGCCCTCCTCTCAAGTGCTTCCACATTTGGCCCCTGTTGACATTCCCCTTCCCCTTTTGTAACCTTTTTTTGAGCGCGATCGGCGTTCTTTTAATTAACTAATTTTGTATTCTGACCTTGAGCTGGGAATTCGATCTGCTCGAACATTAACAAAGGAATTCTTTGTCCAGGGTATCCATTGTTGAGGTTTGTACGTTTTTTCATTATTACTTTATTCTATCAATAGTACCGTATAAACACCGAAAGCTGTTTTGGCTTATACGCGTCACTTTGCCAGCCACAGTACTCAACATCCTATCAGAAATTGGAGGAAATTAATCTCATCAAATGCAGACGCGTTCCATGAAGAATGAATCGGACGGTACGCAACAGTCTCTCGGACTAGACAAACCAGGTGCCTTCGAAGGACAAGGAGAGCTGAGGAAAGACGTCCAGTCCGGCTCTTGTAAGACCGTTTCTATTAGTAGTCGTTGCTCTAGTAAAACAGTTAAAGCTTTAAAAATAGCCGAAATAGAAGAGAGGCGAGTTAAACGTGAGGTCGAACTCCAACGGGCTATTTTTGACGCAGAAAAAAGGACAGAGCTAGCAAGGATAGAGGTAGAGACCGATGAAGAGATGTCCGATGACGACCGTCAACCCGTGGATTCCGTCGCGCATGTCTCAGGATATTTGAAACAATGCACATTGGATGAAATTTCTCCTGAAGAGAGTAATCATTGCCAACGTGAGAATGTTGATATGCCCAAAGCAAGCGCTAGGAGCCTGCCAGCTGCCAGTTTAGAACTGCCCAAGGTTGAGTTGTCATGGTTTGACGAGAACCCAGTTCATTATTGGAAGTTTATACGACAGTTTGAAGTGTACGTAGAGAGCAAAGTTGAAGATGCTGGACAGAGGCTGCTGTACTTGATTCACTATTGCAGAGGTGATGCGAGAGCGGCCATATAAGAATGCGTCATGCTTCCCTCACCTTCGGCTTATTCAAGAGCACGGGAAATATTGAGCAGCTTATTTGGCCAGCCACATGTAGTGGCTAATGCTCTTCTGGACGGTGTTTTCGCACAGGCACGCCAAGTTAACCAGACTGCGAAGGCACTTTCAGATTTGTGCATAAAAATTAGAAGTTGTGAAATAGCGCTCACGCAAATGAACTACGTTTCCGACCTACAATCGCTGAATGTCCTAGAGCGAATAGTGCGTTGTTTGCCGTTTTTTATGCAGATACAATGGGCTGAAGTTGCTGATAAAATATCTATGAATGGTAGAGATCCGGATTTTGCAGACCTCACGTAATTCGTAAATACTCGAGCTAGGATAGCAAGAAGTCGTTTCGGACAAATATCTCGAGATGGGGATGCCAAGCGCTCTCAACAGCCCTTTACTGCCACAGCCCAACATCAAAAACGGGAAAACCCTAACAATTTTGCCATTTCGAGTGTCGAACCAGATCAACGGCCATGTTACATATGTTCTAATGCACATGAAGTGGCAAATTGCCCACGTTTAATTGGAATGGGTGTCGCAGATCGATGGAATTGTCTGCGGCAACACAAAGCGTGTTTTGTTTGTCTTGGTAATACGCATTTTGCCAAGGTGTGCAGCTCCAGAGAACTTTGCGGTCATTCCGGGTGCAAAAACGACATCATACGCTTTTGCATGTAATATCGTCGGAAAATAATCAATAAACATTACATGATGAAGGGCTTTGTGCCCTGACTGGAACTACGCATGTACCATCACGACTGGGGGTTATTCCTGTCAAGTTGGCAACTCCGACAGGAAACGTCGAAACTTACGCATTTTCGGACAGTGGCTCGGATGTCACTCTGATTAAACGAAAGCCTCTTGTCGGAAATGGAGTGCTAACAACGCCAACAACATTGACAATAAACACCATAAGCGGTTCAATCAAATGCAACTCGGAAGTCAGAAGTCTAAGGGTGCTGCCCATGAATGGAACTGAGTCAGTTGGGATTGAAAGGGCTTTGGTAGTCGAAGACTTGCCACTTCGTGCAGAATCGACAATTAAAAGGATAGCCTCTTCGTGGCCACACCTGAGCGATATAATGTTCGACGAGCTCACTGATTGCGAGGTTGGCATACTCATTGGGAATGATATCGTCGAAGCTCATTGGGTACTCGACCAACGTCTGGGTGGCAAAAGGGAGCCGTTCGCCGTTAAAACACTACTGGGCTGGATGCTGCTTGGGTCTTCACGTGGCAGGCAAAAACAAAACGCTGTCTGTCACTGCATTGTAAATCAAGAAAAGGACGTAACGCACAGCATTAAGAAGCTATACGACTCGGAGTTTACGGACACTTCAACAACGACTGCGAGTTACTCATTGGAGGACAAACGGGCACTGGCTATTGTGCAATCTTCCGTTACAATCATAACAGGGCATTACCAACTGCCACTCCCTTGGCGAAGCAGTACGCTGAATTTACCGAACAATTTTCAGTTGGCGCGTAAACGACTAATCCATCTCAAGAGTAAGTTGGGTCGAGATCCCTAATTACTTCGGAAATATGAGCAAACGTTCCGTTCGTACATGGAGAAGGGATACATCGAGCGAGTTGACGGCAACAAAGCGTTCCCAGTTACGAGACACTGGTACTTACCACACCACCCCGTTGTCAACCCCCGAAAACCAGAAAAAATTCGTGTTGTATTTGACTGTGCTGCCAAGTGTCAGGGCGTGTCTCTGAATGATAATCTATACCAAGGACCTGACCTAAACGCTAAGCTAGTAAGTGTGTTGTTGGGTTTCCGACTTGAGCGTATTGCAGTGGCAGGGGATATAGAGGAAATGTTCTTGCAAGTGAAAGTGGACCCGATTGATTGACCTACTCTGAAATTTTTGTGGTGGGAAAATGACGACCTTGAAGGAGAGCCAGTTGAGTTTCAATGGACATCTCACCCATTCGGATTGACTTCTTCGCCCTTTTGTGCCACCTTTGCGTTGCAAAAAACTGTTGGAGATTTCGGTTCATCTTACTCTTCATCAACTTGCAGAGCGATTCACCAGAGTATATATGTTGATGATTGTCTAGTCTCGTTATGTGATGTCGATTCAGCCAAACGTTTTGCGGACGAAATTTGTAAACTTCTCTCTCAAGGCGGCTTTCGTATGCGAAAATGGGCTTCTAATGACCGGCGTATACTCTCGGTCGTTAGTGCGACTGAACGCTCTTCTGGTATGCGAGATATTGCCGTCAACCCCCTACCTACTGAACGAACTTTAGGGTTGCAGTGGGATACGCATGTGCCGAGGCGCCAGACTATCTTGCCTTTCCCTACCTGTTCCTCATTCTTGAACTTACTGGTTGTTTAACTGAATGGAATGAACACAACTCTTCGCGACGCGCTTGGCATGAGTGGGATTGTCAGGTCGTTTGACTTTTGATTATTAATTCTTCCATAACTCTGGTCTTATCCTGATTTTTATAGTCTGGGATAGACGGTTCTGTCTTAGCGTTCGCGACAGTGGTGACCCCTTGACGTTCACGCTTATACCTTTAATTAGTCGACTTCCAATTTGCATACCGCCCGTTTGCCTTCTTTCTTTCTACAATCATGTCCTCTACGAATTCCAATGATCCCACTTCTTCTCTCAGTGGACTTGTTTCTCCCCTCCCAGACTTTTGGCAACATGCGCCAGAACTTTATTTTTTCCGTATTGAGGCGACTTTTCACTCCGCCAAGATAACACGTGAAACAGACAAATATTAAAATCTGGTCGAGGCCCTCCCTCCCACCATTCTTTCTCAAGTACAAACGCTTCTGAGAGATCCCCCGACTGATGCTCCTTACACCAAGTTAAAGGCTGAACTTCTTCGCCTGACATCAGTCTCCGATCGGCAGCGTTATCACGCACTAGTAAAAGAGGAGGCCTTAGGTGATCGCAAGCCGTCGGAACTCTTGCGTCGCATGCGTTCTCTGGTTGGGAACATGAAAATCGACGACAAGTTCTTTAAAGAGATGTTCTTAGAACGTCTGCCGACGTCTGTACAAACAATCTTGGCCTCTGGCTCCGACGACCTAGAAATATCAAAGTTAGCGGAGATGGCTGACCGTATGATGGAGGTTGAGCGTTTGTCATCCCCGACGATTGCTCAGGTATCCCAGCCTCTCAACGTGTCCACCTCTGACCTTGCTGAACTAAAGACGCAGATTGCCCAGTTGTCAGCGACTGTTGCCGCTTTGCAGCTGCGCCGATTTCCCGGTCCCTCTCGACGTCCCTTCGGTCGTGACCGTCGTCGTTCCCGCTCTCGCCCCAGGACCGCCAACCTATGTTGGTATCATGTCAACTATGGCGATAAGGCGCGGCGCTGTGTCCCACCCTGCTCCTTCAAGTCCACGCAGGGAAACTCCTCGGCCGGAGAGTAAACGCGGCCGAGCTCTCTGGCAACTCTACGGGTCGCACATTTTACGTGAGTGATAACACGAGTGGCAGGCATTTTTTAGTCGACACTGGCGCTCAGATTAGTGTTATCCCTCCCACGCCAGCCGACCGACGTTGCCCAAACCATGGTCTTTACCTTCAGGCCGTAAACTCATCCCCCATTACAACTTTTGGATTTCGATCCCTCTCCCTGGATATCGGCCTCCGGCGATTATTCCCCTGGATATTTGTGGTTGCTTATGTTCCCACTGCTATCCTTGGTGCTGATTTTTTGGCCGCCTTTGACCTTCTGGTGGATTGCAGACAACTTCGCCTCCATGATCGCGCAACTACCCTCACTGTCAAAGGATTTCCTCCATCCTCAGTTTCTAACCAGCTCTCCGTCCTTGACCCAAACCCTGACTGTCCATTTCGTAGACTTTTAGCAAAATATCCTACCCTTACTAAGCCCCGTTTTTCTGACACCTCATTTCCCCATGATATTGTTCATCATATAAAAACGACTGGTCCTCCCGTTTTTTCTCGTCCCCGCCGTCTTGCTCCCGCGCGTCTTGCGGCTGCTAAAGCAGAATTTGACCACATGCTGCAACTAGGGATTATTCGACAGTCTGACAGTCCCTGGGCATCTCCTTTGCACATGGTTCCTAAACCAAATACGGATGATTGGCGTCCTTGTGGCGATTATAGAGCCCTAAACAATATCACTATGCCCGATCGGTACCCCGTTCCTCATCTCCAGGACTTTGCTGGAGCCCTTTTCGGCAAAACCATTTTCTCGAAGATCGATTTGGTGCGGGCTTTTCATCAAATTCCGATTGCGGCTGAGGACATTCCCAAAACGGCAGTGACGACTCCTTTTGGCTTGTTCGAGTTCCTTCGTATGCCATTTGGTCTCCGAAATGCCTCACAAACTTTCCAACGTTTCATTGACCGTGTTTTACGCGGCCTTCCATTTGTTTATGCGTATATTGATGATGTTCTCGTCGCCAGTCGAGATGTGGAGGAACATCTCCATCACCTTA